AAGATAAGGTTTTTTTTAAACCTTAACTTACTGCAACTTTAAATCGGAGTAAATCTCACCGCTTTTATTTATTTATTCCTTCTCGAACCTGTAGATCATTGTAATGTAGTGTAACATAAATGTTCGTCCTAGTTGAGGGTTCTTCATTGTGCTGAATTTCTATCTGAATTTTGGAGAGCAAGGAGCATGGCAAAATGACACCTGGAAAGGTTTTAAAATGCATCGAGGTGCATTCTAAGGAACGGCGAAACCATCTTAAATAATAATTAAATTATAACTCACTATAATTATGTGTTTTTTGTTTTAAGGGCAAATGTCCAGAGGATGGTTGGGATGAAAGTACACTTGAACTCTTTCTACATGAACTGGCGATCATGGACAGCAACAATTTCCTGGGCAACTGTGGTGTGGGAGAACGGGAAGGGAGAGTGGCTTCGGCTTTAGTTGCTCGGCGTCATTACAGGTATTTTTTTTCAAATAGCCTGTGAAAACATTGCTTTCCTTGCCTTTTTTTTTTTTTGCTAAAAAAAATGGTGATAATATTCATCATATTAGATTATAAAATGTCTGTTTGGAATCTATTTCTTCCCTATTCAAATGGGCATGTAAACTTAGATTCGACAATTTAATATGATTAGGTGCTCTTCAAGACAGCAGGGTAAAAGTTCTTGTCAGGTTCTGGGGAGTTAACAACACTGGCTCTATGTTCTGTTAAGAACAATTAACCTGCCCTAACTGGTTTGGCTCAGTGGCTAGAGCGTTGACTAGCGGACTGAAGGGTCCCAGGTTCGATTCCAGTTAAGGGCATGTACCTTGGTTGTGGGCACATCCCCAGTAGTGGGTGTGCAGGATGCAGCTGATCGATGTTTCTCTCCCATCAGATGTTTCTCACTCTCTGTCCCTCTCCCTCTCTGTAAAAAATCAATAAAACATATTTAAAAAAACAATTAACATAATAAACCTATTATTTGTACGAGTTTAAAATATCTTAAGGTTTTTTATGATTTTCCATGTTTCTTTTCTACAGTTGCAAGTATTTTTAGAGAATGATATATAGATAGAACTATAAATCATTGTTTATCTGCATCTAAACTGACTCCCATTTTATAAGCACCTTGCTTTGTTGTGATAGATGTAGGAAAGGGTATATTAAATTTGATATTAGATTATTAAGTTACTCTTACATTTTTTTCAAAAAGCTTTTCATCAATTCTGATAACCATGTAATTGACAGTGGTTTCAAATATAGTCATTTCTCTAGTCTACCTTTCTGTGAAATATAGGTAAACTCTAAAATTAAAACTCCTGTCTTCCATGATTTAAAATTTTACTGAAGTTTGACAACCCCTAGGTTTAACAGTCTGGTTTGAATAATCTTAGTTGAAGAAAAGTTCCATGATGATATTTTCTATCCCATAGTTGAATTTTTTTTCAATCAAAACCACCAAACTTCTAGTTGAATCAAAAGGTTCAAACTTCAAGTTATAAAATAAATAAGTCATGGGATGCAATGTATAGCATGTTGCCTATAATTAATAACACTTTTGTATATTTGAAAGTTGCTAAGAGAGTAGATATTAAAAGTTCTCATCACAACCCTAGCCGGCTTGGCTCAGTGGATAGAGCATCAGCCTGCGGACTGAAGGGTCCCGGGTTCGATTCTGGCCGAGGGTACATGCCTAGGTTGCGGGCTCATTCCCCAGTGGAGGGTGTGCAGGAGGCAGCCAATCAATGATTCTCTCTCATCATTGATGTTTCTATCTCTCTCTCCTTCTCCCTTCCTCTCTGAAATCAATAAAGAAATATATTAAAAAAAAAAAGGTCTCGTCGTAAGAAAGAAAAACTTGTTACTGTGTGTGATGATGGATGTGAACTAGACTTGTTGGTGATCATTTTACAATATATACAAATATTGAATCATTATTTTGTATACTGGAAGCTAATATGATGTTATATGTCAGAGACTCGGTGCACGAAATTCATGCATGGGACAGGGCGGGTGTCCCTCAACCTGGCCTGCATTCTCTCCAGTCTGGGACCCCTTGGGGGATGTCCAACTGCCAGTTTGGGATCGGGCCTAAACTGGCAGTTGGACATCCCTCTCACAATCCAAGACTGTTGGCTCCTAACCATTTGCTTGCCTGCCTGCTTGATTTCTCATAACCGCTTCTGCCTGCCAACCTGATTGTCCTCTAAATGCTCCTCTGCTGGCCTGATTGACACCTAACTGCTCCCCTTCCGGCCCGATGGCTCCCAACTGCCCTCCCCTGCCGGCCCAATTGCCCACAACTGCCCTCCCCTGCTGGCCCAACCATCCCCAACTGCCCTCCCCTGCTGGCCTGGTCGCCCACATGATCGCCCACAACTGCTCTCTCCTGCCCGCCTGATCGCTCACAACTGCCCTTCCCTACTCGCCGCATTGCCCACAACTGCCCTCCCCTGCCAGCCTGTTCACCTTCAACTCCCCTACCCTGTCAGCCTGATCGCCCCCAAGTGCCCTCCCCTGCTGGCCCAGTGGCCCCCAACTGCCCTCCCTGCCAGCCTGTTCACCCCCAACTCCCCTCCCCTGCCAGCCTGATCTCCCACAACTGCCCTCCCCTGCTCGCCTGATCGCCCCAACTGCCCTCTGCTGCCACCTGATCGCCACCAACTCCCCTACCCTGCCGGCCTGATCGCCCCCCAACTGCCCTCCCCTGCCATGACCCATCTCCTCCGGGCCCCACCTCTGCTGTGTGCGTGGCCATCTTGTGATGGCCATCTTGTGATGACGTGAGGGCGTGATGTGTGAGGGAGTGACGCCACCTAGGCTATTACTAGTACAGATTATATGTATCAGTTAAAAGAAAAACCTATTGCAGTTAAAACTAACGATAACTAATGTATAACTTGGGTGAAAAATTCATGTTAAAAATGGGCTGATAGCAGTTACCTGTAAAAAATACTTTATACATGAGGTTTTAGTGGTAATGAAGTGTGACACTAGTGTTCTGTGATAATTGCAATATGCAGAGTTTCTGATCTATTTAACTATAAATTACAAATAGATTTTTGATTTTGAAGAATATTCAGAGGTATTTTTAAGCAGTGTACACCATCTAATTTAAAATGAGTGGATTAGCACATGCAGTTTCAAAGAATGGATTAAGGCAGTATTTGAAATATCAACTCATCTCCATTGGAACTTAGTCCCCTGCTCTGGTTAGGGGAAAAGGAAAGAAAGAAGAGAATTTAACGCTGCAGATATTTTGCTTTTCTATTGTTGCACAGCAAACCTCAAAAATGTAGTGACTTGAAACAGTCATGTATCATCTCCTAGTTCTGTGGCTAAACTGGGCTCAGCAGGGTGATGATTGCTTTGGGTTTCTCAAGTGGTTGCAGTCAGATGGTGGCTGAACGTTTAGTCATCTGAAGGTTCAATGGGGCAGTTTATCCAAGTTGGCACACTTAGGTTGCTGGGAGCCCAGTTGCCCTCTCGATGTGGCTTTGGCTTCTCCCAGGGGGGCATGTTGAGTACAAGAGGGAGTCCTCAAGAACAAGCCCTTCAAGAGCCTGGGTAGGAAACTTTAAGGCTTCTTATGCTCTAACTGAGAAGTTCCAGATATCACTTCTGCTACTTTCTTTCTGGCCCAGCAAGTCTCTGAGGCTTGACCAGATTCAAGTGGAGGGAATTAGACTCCATCTCTTGGTGTGGTGGTACCATATGGGCACAGGGAGAAAAGGAATTAATGGTGGCCAGCTTTGGAGACTAGATAGGAGAGCAAAATTGATGAATTTATTTCAACATAATAGAATATTTTCATATTACTAATAGTTTATGCAATATGTCTACAATAGTCAAGTATTACTCCTGGTATTATTATTTTTTTTTGTTATTGCATTTGTATACGTATACAGTGGATTACTTAGAACATTGAATATTTTTGTCCAGTTGTTGGCCCATTTTTTGCTTAGGTTCATTCATGGAATTGGACGATCAGGTGATATTTCTGCTGTGCAACCAAAAGCTGCAGGTTCTAGCCTTTTGAACAAAATTGCCAATTCTTTGGTCCTGGACATCATAAAGATGGCTGGTATGTACTGTGTTAATCATAATACTTTTGGCTGACCAGCCACACAAACTTTGCCTACTTTCTTTTATTAATGTCTCTTTCAAAAAGGATACAAATGATTTTTGAGAAGACCTATCTATCTATATATATAAAAGGCTAAGCGACCGTCCGGTCAGCTGGTAGGTATGATGCACACTGACCACCAGGGGACAGACGCTCACTGCAGAAGCTGCTGAGCTGTGGTGACTTGGCAGCAGCAGTTCTTGGGTGACGCACCCTGGAACCAGAGAGGAGGGAGCCCAATTCCTCCCAGGGCCATGCGATTCCACTGTTGGCCCTGAATCTGGTTTACTGCCGAGCTGTGGTGACTTGGCAGCGGAGGTTCTCGGGTGACACACCCGGAACCAGAATGGAGGGGGCCATGTGATTTCACCTTTGGCCGTGGGTTATGTTGTTGCTGGGGCATTGTTGGCCCCGAATCTGGTTTACTGCACACTTGTGTTTGTGTCCCACACCCTGTATGACAGCAACTTTGCCGAGTGCCCTCTCGCACTCTGGCACTCCTTGGGGATGTCGGAGATCCAGTTTCGGCCGATCCCAAAGGCCAGGTTGAGGGACCCCACCTGCCAGAGGGACCCTGCTCACTCCGCAGACGCCCTTTGAGCCATGGCGCTGCCCCAGGTGTGCCTGGCCGGGGAGGGACCATGGGAAGTTGGCTCCAGGGCATGTCCGGCCCATCTCGCCCAGTCCCACCCCACCGGCCACCTTCTAATAAATTTCCTTTTGATGTGCACAGATCCGTGCACCAGGTCACTAATGTATATATAAAAACCTTTAGAATAAGATAGAAAATCAGATCATAAGCATGAAGGATGAAATTGGCAGTGAGCTTGCTGAGAGTGAGTAAAGAAGCAGCAGCACTAAATCTACAATTCTTATTATTTGCTGGAAGTATATAATTCCTTCAAGAAGAAAGCTAGTTTTTCAATGGAATAACTAATTTCTGTTTTACTTCTTATTCCTAGGTGTCCATACAGTGACCAATTGCTTTGTAGTGCCTATGGCAACTGGTATGAGTCTAACTCTGTGTTTCTTGACATTACGACACAAAAGACCAAAGGCAAAGTATATTATATGGCCACGAATAGACCAGAAGTCCTGCTTTAAATCCATGATCACTGCAGGTAAAAGAAGAGACATGTTGTATACTAGTATAATGTATTCAGCATCACAGTTAGACATTTCAAACTTTTTATGTAAAGATATATAAATGAAAAGAAACTGAACCTATTTCTTTTTATTGTGATAAAATATACATAAAATTACCATTTTAAAATGTACAGTTCCATGACAGTAAGTACATCCACATTGTTGTGCAACTATAATCACCATTCGTTTCCAGAACTTATTCATCCTCTTAAACTGAAATTCTGCCCATTAAACAGTAACTGCTCTTTCCCACTGCTCCCATTCCCTAGCAATCATCATTCTCCTTTCTGTCTCTATGAATTTGACTACTCTAGAGTATTTTCCCTTTGTGACTGGCTTATTTTACTTATGCCTTTAAGCTTTAATCCATGGTATACTATGTGTCAGAATTTCCTTTTTAAAGACTGACTGACATTCCATTCTGTGTGTGTGTGTGTGTGTGTGTGTGTATGTGTGTGTCAAGTTGAATTTGAGAATTTAACATTGTATGAAATGAACAGTATTGGGCTGTAATTGAACTCCATAAATAATCCTAAAGAAACTCATGTAAAAGGATTTATAATAGGGACATATAGCAGAAATTGATAGACTTCAAAAAATACACTGATTTATTTTAAATGGTGTAAAGTTATCAAGTCTGTTAATTTGCATCCTATTAACCAAAGAATTGATAAACACATTCTTGGAATTTGGAAAAGACTGCCTTATTGAAAAACTGAAAACTATTTTCCAAAAGATGTTGGCCTATGATTTACAGTTTATTCTTTTTCAGGATAGCCTCTATTCTTAGGAAGCAAGATTATTGTATTTGTAAAAAAAACACCACAACTTATATTTTAATTGCTTGAAAGCAAAATAGAGTTGGGTCTAGAGAATTTGAAAAACAGTAAAAATTAGCTGTCTTCAGGAAACTACTTATTTAAGTAAAGTTTGTATATTTGTTTTAATAGCTATGAAGGTATGTATTTAAAAAACCTGGATACCTCTGAACCATGTATTTGAAATGATGACTTCACAGAGGCCAAGGTTTTATATTTCTGTAGATAGAATGCAGACAACTTGGTGTGGATTCTAAAACTCAAAAGAAAACTACTTGCTCTTAACTTTGCTCTAACTTGCTGTGTGACCTTGGGGAAACCACTTAATCTTCCTGAACTTTGGCTCCCTTATCTTTGAAATGAGTGAGTTGAGCTAAATGATTTCTAAATCCTTTAGGCTTTTCAATCCATGAATCTAGTCTGCTGCTAGATTTGGTATTTGGGAAGACTGAAGATGAGACTGCATAATAACTTTATGTGCAAAATTTCCCAGGTTTATTTTCTATCCAATTTCTGAGACTTAAACCTTTAGGTTTTACTTTTATCCTAGGTTTTGCTTTGTTAGGTATTTACTAGTATCACAGAGGACATCTATATATATATCCTATCTAATAAAAGACAAAAAGGGTAATTAACCGTACCTCCACTACGCTTCCCATTGGCTAATCAGGGTGATATGCAAATTAACTGCCAAGAAAGATGGTGGTTAACACCAACAAAGATGGCGGTTAATTTGCATATGTAGGCACCAAGCAATGGAGCGAAGCTGGCTGGCCCCAGGCAGGAGCAGCGAGCTAAGGCTGGCGTGGTGAGCGAAGAGCAAAGAGGGGGGCCCTCTGGCCCATGCACGGCGGGCCAGGGGCTTAGCTAAGGCTTAGCGTGCTGGGAGCCGGTCCATCCTTGCTGTTTGAAGGGACCTGGCATATATGGCATACTGTTCTTAATATATTTGCTCACCTTCTTGGCGCTAAGTGTTTTAACCAAGGTCACCTCTCTGAGAAAGGTTGTTTCCCCAGGTAGGGATTTTCCCCTGAAGTTAGGGAGGGAATAAAACCTCTTAACTGCCAGGCGGGTAATTAATCACTTTAACTACAAACAATCATGCTTAAGCTACATAATCTTTAATCCCTCGAATGGAGATAAGAAACCCCCTAACCTTTGGAATACAGATTA